AAATTTAAGAAAAAGTATAGTATTCTCTTCAAGATAGTTAATTTGATTTGATACATATTCAATAATATTTGTTATAGAATTTGAATTAAAAATATCTGTAAGATGAATTGGTGGTTTAAAGAATTCTAAAAAAGATGTGAATTGAGATTTTTTTTGTGTAGGTTCGTCTGTAATTTTATTAGAAAATGGTTGAGAATTGTTTTCAATTATTTTTGGATCATAAGTTGGTTGTGATGTTTCAAGAAAATTTCCTAAATATTCATTTATGTTTTTTACGTTAATACGTTCTGATGATTTTTCATTGTCATGATTTTGTGAATTTGTTGACACCATTAAAAATTATCGTCATTCGATATCGATGTTCAACTTTAACGCTTTTAAATATATACTTGATGACCAGATCCAATAAAAATGCTTCTTTATTTTTTAGCCAATAGCAGTCGGGTAACATGTCACGCAGTGTATAAATTATAATTTACTATAACAATAAACTTGACATTATTAAAAATTGTAGATTTCACTAATATAATTTTATGAAAAAAAAAGATTGAAACTGTGATTATGTGTAAAATCTTACACTGAATGTGTTTACTTAGAAGTTAAAGACAGGTTATCTTAGTAGAAAAAAAAAAAGGGTTATACAGTATACTGTAGCTAAACTAAAAATTTTAATATTTTAATATAGTAAACTCTTTTTTTTAATCTGTTTTTTATCTTTTTAGTAAATTTGTCTAGCATGAAATTTTACACCACAGTTCAAGAAAATTCACTTTTTAGACTTTACTAAATGAAAATTTGAATTAAAGTTATAAAAAAAAAATTTTTAAAAAAAAGCTTTTTTTTTTATATAACTTTAATCCAATTTTTTACTTAGTAAAAAGTTTGATAAATGAATTTTCTTGAAATGAAATGTAAAATTTCATGCTAAACAAAGTTTACTTAGAAAGTAAAGACATATTGTCTTAGTAAAAAAAAAGTTTACTATATAAAATTACTGTATTAAAATTTTTAGATTATTAACTATATTTAAACCTTTTTTTTTTACTAATATAACCTGTCCTTAATTTCTAAGTATATAAAAAATTTTACACATAATTACATTTCAAAATTAGCAAATTCTTTTTTTTTATAAAATTTTGTTATAATCTTTATTATAGTTGTATATTAATGCTCATAGAGTGTAATGCTAAATCAGTGAATAAATGTCTCCCCTGATATTAAAGATTCGTGTAACGATCAATAATATCTACAATTTATAAGCAAATGCCACATATCAAATACAATATTTACAAAAATTAAGTGGTTATAATGAGGTTCAAGAAATAATATACATAAAAAAATATTAGATGAAGTATGAGGTAAATGATGTGTGCGTCACGTGATAATAATAACGCTTCAAAGATCTATTTGATTTTCTCTCAATTCATTCAAGTAGGAATCAAAAGCAGTGCGATCTATTGAAAGATTCCATTGAATAAAGCTCAAGAAAGCTCTTTCCTAAATTATAATAATTTGTAAAAAGAAAAAAAACAAAAAAAAACATGAAAATAGGTCACAAAAGCAAGACTAAAACAAGACTATTTCAAACGAGAACATGAAACATACCATTCTTATTATGTCTTTGATTGACCAAATATCTTTTCCAACAGATTCCAACATTTTTCTAGCAGTAATTGGTACATCATCGACATATTTACTAGCCACTAGAATAGAACTAATGAAGACTCTATGAGCGGTTCCATACTCAGTTTCATAATTTTTAGGCAATTGTTTTTTAAGTCGGTGAATGTAAATCAAGCAAACAACAACGATTAAAACTGGTAAATTTAAATCATGAACAATTTTCTTTATGAAATCTAGTAAGTCTGGAAGTTGTTGAGATTTTTGACGTTGCGGTTGGCTCATAGGGAGGAATGTACCCATAGAGGTCGTGGTGAAATCTAATAATAAATGTTAGAAAAATGATAAAACAAAAAAATGTTTAGAAAATTTGAATAGATGAACAAACAAATTCTTGGATCGATTTCAAGGAAAAGAAAAAGAAACAACAATTTACCGATTAGTTCTGCTGGAACCGGCTTACTCATGGAATGTTTAGTAAGTGCAGAATTAGCTATTTTAGTAGCCATTTCTTATTATTGAAGTATTTATTATAGAAAAACGCGAAAATATATAATCTTTAAAACAAGGCAATATTCAAATATTTTATTGTATGGTACGTTAGGAATAATTCAAAGATTAAAATAAAGTAGCTTAAAAAAAAAGAAAAACACAAATTTAATAGCTTTTTATTTTAAATTTTAATGAACCAACAGAATATTAGTTCGACAAACATTCAATTAAAAATATAAAAGATCTTGAGAATTAATTTACAAATGGAAAAAGAAAGGAAATGTGTGAATCATATTTATTTTACTTCGTAAACATAGTAAAAACGCATAGTTACACGAATTTGATGTGTGATTTCTATAAAAGAATTCTGACTAAACAACGAAATCTGAAACAAATGATCACGAGATTAACTTCATACTGATGTCAATTAACCTTTTCATGGATGTTCCTTGAATATCGATATTGATGCATTAACATTTATAAACAACATGATATCACGATTAAATAAATTATATATAGTATTTTTTTTTTTTACATTATTACACAACTAGCCGTTTCTTATTTCCAACGATTAGCGATATCACGTACTATACATACATACGTATGTACGTACGCATGTATCTAACTTTTAAAATGTTTTATTAAGTATTTATCATTGTCGAACATCATATGGTTTTGATCTTCACAAATATAGTTTGGGTAACATCGCTACAGGTATCAGAAATATATTACTAATATGTATTATACTTTGAAAGTTGCTTGTAAAAATTTGCTTGTTTATGAGAATTTCTCTGTTACTTATATATTGTACATAACCATGAATATTTAGATATACAGTAAATGCTATAGTATTGTAAAAATAAAATAAAAAAAATTGATTTCTATATAGTGTAGAAAAGTTTCGTGAGATGCAGTCCTATAAAATGACTAATACAGTATCATAAAATGGTATAATTCTATTGATGGAAAGTTCAGCCCTATACGTAAAAAAATGGATAAAATTCTATATCATTCCGTATAATCTATCTAAATTCTGCTTCACTTTTTCATAGAACAATTGAAGTTTGAATAACTGTTTAATTGGACATTAAAATATCGTTTGTGCTATGATCGTTTTAAAAATGTCGATCATATCAAAAATTTTAAAAACGTCGTTGAAATGATATCGAACTAAATTTATATAAAATCTTGCAGTTACACAATTCATGCACATCACTTACCATACCACATGCCTGAAATACTGAAATAGAGAGGGTGACTTCACTGTCACGCAGGGCTGAGGTAAATGACCGGGTCATTTGTCAAATTAGTGTTGTAAGCCACATGACTTTAGACGGCTGGCTAAGCCAGCTGACTAAAACATCGGCTAAACGGCTGGCTAATACCTGAATAATAGTCTATTTTTCGGAATACTTCGGAAATTTTCTCGAAGTATTTTATGTTTATTCATTTTCCTTTTCGTAATTCTACTATTCATGAATCATGTGACCCTTAGCCGCATTAGCCAGCCGGCCATATTATTTCGGCTGGCTTAGTCGGCTAAGCCGGCTTAGCCGCGGCTGTCCTAGTCGGCTTACAACACTATGTCAAATGACCTCAAAATGGTCGGTGTTACGAAAATTTTGTGTTAAAATCTTTGTTACATTTTCTATGTTGTGTATTAGTACCATGGATCTCATAGATCTTGGCTTCAGATTTGAAATGTATAAATATGACACCTAAACCATAAATGATAAAATGACGTATTTTGATCTTACCTACCATTCCTTAATAACGAAAGGGCCAGGATGTCGGAGACATTTTCCAGTCACATGATTTCTAGTGACTGACTATCCTTGATCTGTCATCGTATGATGTATGATTTATATCACTGATACTGTTATTAATTAATTAATTAATAATATCATCACTAAAATTCCTTTTATAAAAAATTTCCTTTTACATTCATTAAATTTTATATACCTTTTTTAGAAACATTTCAAATAGTTAATAAAAAAATCAATTACAATGGCTACTTGTACTTCATGTTAGCGTCGGCTGCCCACAGAAGCATTTCTTCATAAAGGCAGATTTTTTAAAACCTGCTCATCTTGCTTAACCGAAAGATCAAAAAAAAGAACAGAAAAAAAACCCCAAATTATTAATAGTCAGCCGGAAAAAAAAATTGAAAAAATTACTATAACAAATATTATTGAATATGTATCAAATCAAATTAACTATCTTGAAGAGAATACTATACTTTTTCTTAAATTT